AGTCATATACCGATCATTCTACTCTAGCATTATCCAGCTTCCTGAACAGCGTGGTATGTCTCCTTTTAATGACAAAGTCGGAAAGATCAACACAATAAATGCTCTCTGGACTCAAGCAGTCAGTAACATCCGGTAATTCGAACGAGTCAGGTTGTAATAAAATCAGTCATGGTTGAGTGAAAAAGCAAAGCGACGTGCAGACTGAATATGAAGTGTCTTATTTTCCCTTAACTGCCCATGCATAGTTCCAGAAGCTGATCAAGGTTAAAAGGGCGCAACTCCTTTCAATCAAGTAAAATCGTCTCCATCTTCCATCGTCACTTGTGGGACCAGCCAATATGCTACCACATTATATCGTTCCTGCTAACGAGGGATGGCACTGCTACATCCTGCCCAAACGAGGCATAGTCACACAGCTGTTCAGCAAACCCCGGCCGAACGGTCAATTGTGTAACCAATGAGCTGGAGGTCGCGGGTTCGGAATCTCTGAGTTCAATAAGACACGCAATGATGACGAAACAGCAGCATGGTGCTTCCTGGCTTCCCAGTATAGACTAGCACCAGCGACAGGACGAAATCTCAGTCAAAAATTACCGGATTTATCTAGCCCCGGAGTCATGTTATTAGACAAGCTATGTGATTATCCTCGGTCTCTGCGGCAGGAGCAACACAATGACATCAGGTGATGAACATCTTGCTTGGCTACCATACTGGTCGGCGTTTCATCGCCCTCTGCATAAACCAACGAGTGAAGTGATACTCAAAAAAATAATGCCACGGGAAAAAGATGAAAAGATGGGAGAAGCGATTCAGTACGCCACCGGAAAAAGGAAACTGTGGTAATGATGGCAGTGTTTCTACTTCAGACTGGCTGAATCTGAATTTCAACATTTGAGAGTGCTACATGTCATCCTGGAAAAAAGTGATGAGTGAACGAGTTTGGAATACGGTCTGGGGTAATGATCGCGTAAATCCATGCTTATTGACTCCACGTAGTTCACCGAAAATTGTGTAGCAAAATACTCCATCTCTATGCTGTTAAGCAAAGCTTGAATCCCGAGACATATCCAGAAAAAGTAGATTTACAGAATTTCAATTCGGTAGGATACCTGGACACAGGATGAACATTTCTGTGAATACGTTTCTTCGGCTTTAAAAGGTACGTTAGATCTGACTAGATAAAAAATTTTCTTGGTACCAGTTTTTTTGGTGTGGAAACTTTTCTTAAACATATAACAGTAAATTTACGGTTTTTTATTGACCTTGAAAGCTACTAATATCAGCACGATCTACTCTTCTTGCATTTGAATCATTCATTAAATATTCACTTATTCCGCTTTGGAAGGTTGTCAGCATTTGGCAGGTGTTTTCAATCTTTCCTCAATAAAGTGACCAAAATCCATACCTTTTATTCGTAATTCTGAGGCACATCATCGATATATTTTTTTCAAATCTCGTGACTGTTGATCTGCATACTGACCGGAAGCATCACTATAACAAGGGCAGACAAAAGAAGAGTGGCAGCAACTGATCAAAAAGAACGACTAACGTAATACAGTCATTTGCGCGGTAATTAGGTTATAACGGGAGACTAAACTCATCGATATTTTTTTTCAAATCTCGTGACTGTTGATCTGCATACTGACCGGAAGCATCACTATAACAAGGGCAGACAAAAGAAGAGTGGCAGCAACTGATCAAAAAGAACGACTAACGTAATACAGTCATTTGCGCGGTAATTAGGTTATAACGGGAGACTAAACTGAATCCCACTTGAATCCCTCGTTTGCGATATTTTTCAAATGGATGTACCGCAAGTGAGCCGCCTGGTTTTTCAGTTGCTATGATACTCGATATACGGCGGCATATTTTCTCCGAGCTCAAGATAGCTTAAGTGGCCAAGACGCGAACCCACTGACTGAAAGGTCTGTGGTTCCAATCTCGATTGCACATGTTTGGGCTTGTGCAACCTGGCGGTATCCCATCCTTTGTGTTTCCTGTGGGCGGCACGGAGGCTATGCAACGAAAAGGCGCCACAATGTTTTATTAGTAGCACAGTTTCACGAAAGGAGTTCGGAGACTGCGCCTATCTCATGAGCCCCAAAATGAGCGAATTTGGCAGTGAGCTGTGGGAAAGTTTTCAGTAAACTTGTGCACATTCTTCTCCACCAAAAAAGAATATCTTTTGAACGCATGAACAGACGGATATAAATGAGGCATACTGTGGCCCACATCTGACCTGTTTTGGCAGTGAGCTTATTGAATTCTTGAGGAAGCGCGGACTATTGCTCAAGTAATTAAGAAAACCAGGGCCAACCACATGCAGTAGTCACACCACCCTCGTAACTATTTTGACTGGACCAATCTACGAAGCACCAACCACACTCTGGCTGAGTGGGGCATGCATAACACCAAGCTGTCATTTTTGCAAGATATTGCGACCTAGTGGGTCTCCAGAGGTCTATGCTTATGACGTTTAAATTACTTAAGTTGCTTACTGAGTCTATCCGAATGCCGAAACTGAACCACCGAACGACCACCAAGGATAACGCGATGGCTTGAGTTCTAATCTTAAGCACATCCGTATTCCAAAGCTTTCAAAGTTAAACTAATTCCTTCGCGAAACGCTGTCAAAGTAATTAGTTTCCTTGAGTAAAAAATATTCTTCTACGTTACAAAAGCTGAGTGACTTGATCTGTTACCCATTTTATTCTCTGTTGAACATGTCTACCCTTCGCCCAGAGGACAATCCTCATTTTCATATACCTTTACGTGACGCAACTTCCAGAAGTTGCTGAATGCTTCACACACTTAATTCAAGATCTTTAAAGCGTTTCATTTGAGAGAAATCGGTACTGCACCCACGAGTATTCTTGCCCCGTCGGAAATTCTATTTCGAATTCAAATATTTTCCCCGAGTTGTACTGAGGATGATCGATAATAAACTCGGGGATGCATGAAGTAAGCTAGCAGTCGCGCCATTTTACTGAGAAAGTCTGAGTCACTCAAATCGTGGTTATTGCTTTTTACCATCGGGAACACAAATCCGTTTTCGGTACTACTGATTAAGTCTAGGTTCTCTTAGTAAAGTGGTACTACGTGTTTCAATGTACTTTCATGGACAAAAGATTTTTTCAAGTCCAAACAAAACAAAACCTAATCAAAAACATGCCTCGAAGATGAACACTTTATACAAAAATATAGGTCGGAAAACATGTTTGATGGCTCGGTGCTTTTCTTAATTTTGTGTCTAAATTAACCCCAAAGGAATTTATCAATGACTGGCATTTCCACATGATGCCCCAGAAGTTTTGTTAATATAATGCGTTGTTTGTATTCACATGCGTGTGAGCGCGTGAGGTTGTATGTGGGCTCTCCACAATCTTTCGTACAAGCAGTGGTGTTCATTGTCTCCGTTTTTTTTCAACTTCATCAGTAATGGGGTAATCAGGTGAACACTAGAAAGTTATGAAAACCCCGGTGTTCATATAACTTTGATCGAAAATGCTGCTGACTTGAAGCATGCAGATTAAACTGCTTCCACTTTTTGAAAAGAGCACGGGGTGCTGACCTAGGCAGTCATTTCCCTCGCACCCACAAAGTGCAAGGCCATGCTGCGAAAGTTACAGTCTTCGCACGCGCTTCAATGACACTGGAATTTGCATTAGTTGTGGTGTTAGCGTGGCAGATGAAGTTCAAGAACGAATCTCGAAGGCCAGTTTGCTCTATCTGTGGCATCAGAAAGGTGTATCGCTGGCTCTCAGACTACGATAGGGGCTGCGAGATCTGGCCTATTCGGGTGAAGTATCTGAGATATCTTCAGGTGTTTGACCATCGACGCTTCAGAACTACCTGGAATCGGCTAGGGCCAGCGAATTCAAAATAAAATTGATAGGAACTGGGTCTCTGATGAAACTGACGGTGCTTTATTCAAGGAACGCATCCATCATTGCAGACTAAGTTGGCCGGCCGTGCCGAGGTATGCCTGTTGAGACGAAGGCTGTTTTCCGTGTCTAATTCGACGAGACGTAAACCTAGAGGTAGAGAGAAGCTGATATTCTAGAAGCAAACGGAGGATGTAAGGAGAAGTTTGAGTGCTGCCGGTGCTTTTCTCGGAGAGGGTCTACTTGATCCTCCCTGCACTTTGCTGGAGACACCGAACGCTACGGCGGCTGACCGATCTCAGTGGCATTCATGCTGTCAATTTCGAATTAGGTTGTCTGATCAAAAGTTAGAGGTGTAAGCACCTAGTAGTTTATCCTTAAGTCCCCTTCCAGTCGAATTTATTATTCTTTCCATGATGAATTAATTGAGATAAATTAACATAATTGCACGGCAGTGAGGCACCAGTTTGTTCATCCAGTAATGCTGTCGATCCAGATTTTACTGATAGTTTTGTTTTGTAGTTTGTCCTATTTTTGACTAGTTGATGTTTATTCCTGTTCACTTATTTGTATTCAAACTCCACGTTACTCACGCACTGCCGTTACTTGCATAATGTGCCAAGTTACTTGTGTTCACCGAATAATTCAACACGCTCACTGGCTTTAACAATGATTCGGTCTCCGGCCAGACGCCGATGTCTGCCCTGTTCGTCGGTACTGAGTTTCAGTGTGACCCGCAAATAAATGGCCTCATCTTGTCGCGCTTCGTCCTCAGGTTCTAACATCACTTTACTTACGTAAACCGGGAAATTGACAGTGTTACCCATACACGCATCGCCTTGTCCGATGCTGCAACTAGGTGTAGGATATTCCACAATCGATTATTTGCGCACATTATAGGATGAGCGAATTCGTCATAGTAAAAGTATGGCTGTGCATCAGGTGTATCTCATCATTATTTTGGGTACTGGACCATTGCTCATACCTTTCGTTAAGGTGCTTTAGTTAGTTGACAGAACAATTATCCCTTTGTCCCTCTTCATCTTATCCATCGAGATTTATTAGCATTCGTTTTTACCGAAATCAAGCTTACCTTCCTATTTTATTCCCATCTAGTTCTTGGCCATCGTCTCTGTGTTCTTCATTGTGCTCTCCATCCTCTCCTTCTGTCTCAAAACCTCGTCGAGCCTTCGCATTCCTTATTTGTACAATGAGAGCATTCATACTGAGCCAAGCGATACTGCCTCATATCTGATAACGACCATCATTGATCGGCCATCAGAAACAATCAATGGAGTTCCTACTCCTTTACCATCATCTCAATTTGATCGGGATCAACCAAGGTTACCCGCACCAGACAAGCACAGCGACCCGGGAGGTCATTCCCCCTGGACTGAATTTAACTGGACTATACGTAAAGGAAAAATCAGAGCTCACGACTTTTTCAGTTACGTAGAAACCATATCAAACGCCTGGTTCACTTTTGAAATTATTATTCGGTTTCTCGTCACTCCGTCGAAACTGGAGTTCATCAAGTCACCTGTAAATATAATCGATCTGCTGGCTTTGATCTCATTCTATGTGGACTGCATAATAACCGCAATCTTGTCTGAAGATGGTGGCTATGAAGCACTGGAGTTCTTCTCAATCATTCGGATCATGCGTCTGTTCAAACTGACCCGGCATATTGCCGGACTGAAGATTCTCATTCATACGTTCCGCGCCAGTCTGAAGGAACTCGTCTTGCTCGTATTCTTTCTTATGGTGTTCATTGTTATTTTCGCGGCCTTAATGTATCATGCCGAACGTTTTCAACCAAGTCCGGACAACGACTTCGCCTCCATACCGGTTGGCCTATGGTGGGCTATTGTGACCATGACCACTGTGGGTTACGGCGATCAAGTACCAAAGACTTACCTAGGTAAGTTTCATATTTGCCGTAAGTTATTTTCCATCTTAATATGGACATAAGATGTTGATCAGGCGATCACATTGGGGACGCTACGTTCTGTCGAGATGTCAACTCCAACAACGGTAAAACACGAGCTTCTAATACAGGACTTCACAGGACACATGCGAAGGACGATTGCACATCAAAACGCTGAATGATATCCATCCCCACCCAGGGTGTAGAAGATGTGGTAAGGTGTTTCATTGTCCTGTACTTACATCCTGCTGACCTTACAAAAACAGATCCGCTTACCAGGATTGTTCAGGTCCCTCATGGGGTCGATTACTGTTCTACGTGGAAAACCTGACTACTTGCAAGTAGCCAAAGTTGGACGTCAATAAATGAACCCTACCTGAACTGATTCGGTCTTTCACAGGTGCACTTCCATCGCTGAAGTTAGACAAGGTCTTTCGCTTCCCAATGTGACTACAAAGTGCTCTGCATTTACCTTCAATGACTGTGCCGTAGTTCTTCCTGTGCTAAGCATTGCGTAGTAGGATTCGTTTTCAAAAATCCGCACCATCTGGTGGTGCCCAACTGATCCAGAGTAAAGCAATTAGTTTTAAACATTTAGAGCAAAAAATTTTGTCACAGTGTCTTCCAGTGAATAAGTTGGCGGCATTTTTGAAAAACAGTATTCACATTTAAACCTAGCTGTGTGAGCTTGCTCATTATTAATCAGGTAGCTGTTCGCAGGCTTGACATTTAGCGGGCAAACGTTTCCACATGAGTCGATGACACTGTGCAGACATTGATAGTGAACTGTTCGCAGGCTGGTTGCCGGCGTCGGTGATTAGAGCAACAGTCACCTGATCAACAACCTATTTAGAACGTAACCTACTTAACCTATAAGTATTTCTCCCCACCAGATTAAACTCAAAGTGTATTACAAGTAATGCCCCAGCAGTGCAAAATATTGACGAAGCGGCTCTGCATGGATCGTAAAACACCAGTGGTAGTATTCATATGACTGGACCCCGAGATGATCGGTCAGGTTGTTGAATCAATCAATTAGCATCGATGATTGCATGCAACCTATCTCGGATTCATTTTGAATGGGGACAAATACTGACCTAGGTTGCGATGCACGCAACACTATAAGAGGCGAGTCAGGAGTGGTGGTCTTCTGTTGAAAAACTGAAATCTTCTCGCAATATCACCAACCCGCAGTTAGCTCGGAGGACGAGTGACTTCATAAAACGAGTGAAACTTCCTTTTAAGAAGTCGTCACTGGAGCAGCCAGTCAGTACCCGATCACATGATTTGGTTTCTGTGACCGAAAGATGAGTGGTGACCTATCCTGTCACGGTGCAAGTTGGTCGTACTGCTGATCAGCCGCTTGTGGCTGAACGATTTATTAAGTCACTTGCCGGAAGGCTAAGGATTTGAAACTCCCTGGATTTTCGTGAGATGGGCAATACCGACGATTCCCAATAGGGGGAAAACGGTTGCGCGGTACTCTTAGGATTCTCAGCAAAGATTGGCTTCACTGACAGGACGAAGTCTCTGCTGAAAATCCATAAATCCCGTCATACTGCCATCAGTCTTTGATTAGTTGATACATTCCTACAGATGAGTTATAAAGTGTGCTAGCGGTAGCAGTGTTCGAGGAAGGTCGAGTTTGTAAATGCAGCATCCAACCAAATGATGAAAGGGCTACCAAAATTAGAAATCCAATGAAGAGAAAGAGGACCACCACCGTATTATTCACTGCCACGGAACCGAAACAACTCATATGGGAAACCAAATGTAATGGATCAAGATGTATATTACCCGTTCCTATGATTCAACGTTAAAGGTCAATGTCGGTAAGCTTAGGTTTCATCATTAGAAAGCTTCACAGTCAAGTAGATAATGATAAGTAAAACAATAACCTTACTCCACTGATGAACGCAGTGGAACATTTACAATACGCCGGACCCTTCAAGCAACAGTTCAAACGTTTCCCATCTGAAGGTCACCGATTAGACAGACCATCAAAATGTCGTAACAATTACTCATAAGGCCGTCGACAAGCTGTCCATAGTTTCAACTAATTAGAGTAGTTTTTGCGTGTTAGTGTCAGGCACACCTCAGGCTAAATGACAAGTGATCTTTTGGTTCCACCATCGACCTGATGCGTCTGTTTAGCAGGGTCGATTGCGTGAATAATATGTCGGGTGGGAATTTGAAAAAGAGCTTTCTGTATGATGATGGACGCGATGTTGCTACTCTGAGATGATACCTTGGAGGCATGGAGTGGCAGGGTACGAATAAAATGTGCCTAGTACTTTAAAGAAATACATTCATCTGCATAACAATTTGGCCTCATAGGAGACGCAACTGAAACACAGATGAATCTCCTTCAGGTGAATGTGCTGCACCAGGCCGCCTCACTTTTCAGTGTGTACGATGCGGTAGTATCGTTATACATGGTTCCTGTCGAGGATTTTTCAGCAGGCTTGTGAGTAGTCAGCTGCATCTATACAATGCTTGATACTTTATCCAGTGTATCGGTTAATGCGTTTCGCACTCGAATAGTAGAAGGCGTATGCATAAAACTTAAGTTCAGCAGAAGTGCTTACTACCTACATAAGCGAGCGCCGTTGTGTTTGCCTGATCAACTGGAATGAGAACAAAACGAATGTTGAATAATGACGATACACAGTGCAACGCCAAGATGGAATTACGGGTGGATTTATAAATTTCTGCTTTAATTAAGGCCTCAATTGCAGATGCAAAGACACGGGCCCGAATCGTCAAGACAGAAGTTTGATTGTGTCATTTGACTGGGAATGTCTAGAGCAAATTGGTTATCTGGCAGTCTTAGCCAATAGCTTTAGGTGACGTTTTCTATAACGTAGACAAGATTATTATAGGATTATTGACATCGGGTTGGCCGTTGTGAGTAGTTGAATGGATGACCTTGGAACAAATGAATGATCTTGGATTAACCACTGAATGATCAAGCCGGATCGGTCAGGTGGTTTGTATAGAAGAGGCCAATGATTGTGCTTGTCACGTGATTGAATTTACGGAGCCTAGTACAAAATGGCAAATATTCAAACGCTGCCTGAAAAAAAAACACCGTACTACCCATATACTTTAATAAGAGCGAAGATCGAATCTATCTCTGCCTCTGTTTGGTGTGGGCAAACCAGTCCGCTCAAGGAAAACAGGAAAACCGTTCAAACGAGAATAAAAATTTCACTGTTCCCCCTGGGACCTACAACTAACTGAAGAAAAGTCATGGGTCTGTGCCTTAACTCTGATGCTGTTACCAGGCCATCGGCCACTGTCGAATTAGCACCTAAGTGAAGAGATATAATATTTTGCTTTGATGGAGAGTTTTGGCTTTTCAATAATCGTTTCGGAATTCCTGCAGCATATGAACGAAAGCACGACGTATACAATTCAGTTTGAGGCTTGCAAAGTTTCCCTTTTTTTATGTACCACACTTTTGGATTATTTTTATCTCGTCACCTTCCCGTTAGGCCCTCTACAATGGCACCCTCACAATTAACATCAGCTCAGGATTCCCCAAACCCCTTTTCCCTCGAATATATACATGGAAAACACTAATGAAAACAGCAAATTTCAGTGGCTTATCAGATTCACCCGTTTTCGCAAGAACACATGCACTTAGTTTATCCGATGCCCTAAGGATTTATGTATTTTAGAAAGCCCCAACTTTACCTTAAGCCGAGTATTTTTGTTGCTTTTTACCTCCGAACGGTATACTTTTCGTTGATAGAACAAACTGCACAATATCTTGCTGAAAACTACTGGACGTCTTTCATGGAAAGAGAAAACAGATGGCTCAAAGATATCCGCTGTATGAAATAGCAAACACAAATTTTAAACGCGATCAATCATTGCGAATCCTTTTCATGATACCCATGACAGGAATAAAGCCTTCGCTGTGGAGTTGTTTATTAGAAAAAACTGAACAGTTACAGACTATTGGGCAGGGAAGCAAAACTATCATATGCATCTTGTTTACAAAAGCTGAATATCTATCTTCACCTTGAACCCGTCTTCCTGAACTTTCCTGGATATTCATTGACTGTCACTCAAATGCAAGCAAATGCTACAGAGCGACTCCACAAATTCCGTAATAGATCTCACCTTTCAAGAGACGCGAAGCGGATTTACGTAGGAGAATAACACTCGCATGCCCCATCAGTAGCATCAACGGTCACACCCGCTGAATGTGGCTGCTGAGTGTTGACCAGATAGAAGTCGTAATTTATTCCCTGATAAAAGCCACTCTTGACGGCCAAAACATTGGACGGTTTTATTTGATAAATCCGTAATTTAACTGCGCTAGAATCGCCTACCAGAGGACTAGAACCTCAAACTACGACAGATTCCACATTGCTACTTCCGTTTATTTCTCTCCCACCAGATGGTACTTTTTATCACCTTCCTTTCTTGGTTCCATAAGGTCTAACTTTCCGAGTCAGGTGTGAGCTTTACGTGCATTGTAAGCGGACGAAAAGGCCCTCTAGAGTTCGTATGCGTCAGATACGGGGAGGCCGTAAGCCAATTGCCGGACACCCTTCAGTACAAACTAATGGACCCGTTTCATATTCTGGGTGATGATCATCAGCAATTTTCACTATGCGAATAGCACGACAGAATAAATCATCTGAGCGGTTCTGAACTGGTTCCAGAATTGGTCTGTCACATGCTACGAATTATGCGGACGGGTGGATTTCTTAAAAATTAGATTATTTTTTAACAGTGTGCTGAAATCAACAACCACTGTGGTAAAGAATTCATTACGTTGTCGAAGTACCGAAGGGTCGAGTTTAACTGCAATGATAAGCTGTAACACTCAGGCGTAAACGACCTTACAACAGTGGCCTTACAATAACCAGTAAAGCTAGCTACATTTTACTGAAATCCCTGGACATACAGTACCCAAAGACACTTCCTTCTACCGGTTGGTTCATGAGTAAGGGTCTAAAAATTATTGTGAGTGCTGC